AATTTTTTTTATATCACTGATTTGTGATTAAAGTGGTCCTGATGTGCTTCTGAGCTGTTAACACAACACACACCATGATTATCTGATAAGATTATCTTTAGAGCCATGATGGTAATCAGGCAAACTTAAAAAAAGTTCTAGATTTGTGCTTATTGCTAATTATTATTAATACATAATGTCAAGGAAGAAATGTTTTAAATCTTTTGAAATCTTTTAAATCTTTTTTAATGCACGCAATAATGCGCAGTGGTGGTTTAGATTAAAAACACTCTAGCGGGTTAAGACGTTTTGAACAGCTTTTCTGCATGGCTTGGTCATCATTTTTAGGTGAACAATAACCGAAACATGCTTTTACTTCTTTAGACGCTGGAAAAACTGACCTTTTATGATTTAGATGGGACAAACCATGACCTTTTTCTCAAGTTATAACAGTACTATAGTCTTTAAGAAACACGTTCATGAAGTTCTTTGCATAAAATCCCTCACACGTGAATCAACCCCAGCAGTTTTATTCTTGACGGTTTCAGTACCTTCCAGAATGAGTTGCTTCGGGGCTCTTTCACTCTAAGTAAACAAGCTGTTGCTGGCCGCGCCCCACCCTCGCTCGCTGCCATAAGTTAAGAAACTCCAATATCTGGGAGGGGATTAGAGTGGAGCTGCTGCTACTCCAGCAGCAGCAGCGCTCTCTTGCACGTGAGACGTAGTTATAATAATAATAATAATAATAATAATAATGAGTTGGAGTGATGTAGTGCTTTTCTAGGCACTCAAAGCACGTTCCATTGTTCATGCATTCTCACATCTACATGCTGCTGGAGGTGGTAAGCTATGTAGCCACAGCCATGTGGCAAATGAGGTGTAGTGTCTTGCCCAAGGACACGGCAGCAGAGCACCCTGCTGGGAGATGGGATCACTCCTGCAGTCCTCCAAACACTAGGCAACCCACTCTGCCTCCAGAGCAACTGCTACCCCCTTTATGTTCAAATTTTGCCCGTTTGTGACATCACAAATGGGGACTTTTTCAAACTGCTTGTTTATGGCACATACTTGCTAAAACCAAACATTGGATTTTTTATCACGTTTTTAGTTTTTAGTTTTTATAGAGGCAGCAGAGACCCACATGGCAGCAAAAAACGAAAAACCAAAAACAGATTTTACCTGATTTGCCCCCACTAATACAAGCCCTAAAGTTAACTCTGTGGACTGTGAGTGAACGTCCACCCATCACCACTCGAAGGACGCACTAAAAGATGAAATATTGAGGTGGACATTTTCCATCTTGTGTGTGGATCACCAAAGGAAATCTCAATCCTCTTAATAGAGCCACTAATGATGGCCTCCATTAGTTTAATACCAGCTTTTATCGCCTTGCCCTAAGATGACTGTAGCGTTTCATTAGACATGTCTGTCTCATATCTCACTTTGCGCCCCGAGGAAAGTGTGAAGGGATTAATTTTTTTTTGATAGCCCCCTGCCTCTTCCTGTCTCCTCCACCTCCCCCTACTGCCGCCGTGCTCTCCTCACAGCCACATTGCCGGGCGCCCGGGAGGAATGGCGTCTTAGTCGTCCTGCCATTTTTTGGAGTTGAGGAACAAGAGGAGTTTAATCCTCATTGTCCAGGAGACTGCAGAGGGTGGCGGGAGGGTGGGGTCCTCCGGCTGTAAAATGATCCAACTGGCTTTGGCTAATCCCTTTCAACGCCCTCCCACCCCCCATGCACACACACACACACACACACACACACACACACACACTCCCTGGCCTGACCCCCTTCTGGCCTTGATTCACACCCTGACACCACCACAGAAACACATGAATGGGGCTGAGCGTGCACCTCCCAGTGGATGATGTGACGGTGTCTCTTCTGCTCATAAAGGGAACACGTTCACTCATTAGGGAGGTGTGTTTCAGAGGGATTGAACTTAATCACCTGCACATGAGCTCAATCAATCAGCCTAATCGCCAGAACTCCCACCGACCTGCAAACTTGTGAATCGCACCGTTCTTTCCAACATCTCCGTTTGATGTGTGTGTGTCGTGAGCGTCACCAGGATGACGTGTGTGTAATACGTGGGCTGATGAAACACAAATAAATAAATTGTCTAGTTTGTTTGTTCTTCTCTTCAACTGAAGGATTACTGAAGATCAGGCAGAACGGCGCTGGACGTTTATTTGACGTTAAGTCCCGAACAAAACGGACGCTTTCTGATCTGCACAAATCTTCTCCTTGTGCAGACACCTCCTTCCGTCTCCGTGTCTCCCCTGCTTCCCTGTTCCCCTCCTCTCTTTCTGCTTCTGCGCTGCTCCCTGAGTGACAGCTCAATACCGCGGCTCTCCCGGGCTTATCTAGCCTCAGCAGATGGTTGACTTGGATCGCTGTTCATACGCCGCGATCTGGGCCGCTGATAAAGACTCTTACACGGGGAGTTTCTGCTATCTCTCCCTCACTGGCTCTTCTTTCTTCCTTTTACCTCTTCTCCTCTCAATTGTTCCATTTTCCACTCTTTGATTGAGCCTTCCTACCTGGATCTCACCCCTCTTCTTCTTGTGTCTCCACCTTCTTCCATCCTCCACGTCCCTCCATCTCTGTGCATTGAATCTGGTGCTGTGTGATTGTCTCTGGTTGCCTGCTGGGTTGGCGCCTGTCTAAAGGGCCCAAGGACCCTCAAACGCTGAGGGGGCTCCAGCCGTGCCAGAGTATATTCCTTTTCCTTCCTTTATCTCAGATACATCATTTCATCTATTCTCCCTCCTCGTCTCTAGATAAAGAAGGTCAAAATGTGCCTCTTTTGCTCTTTTTCCTCCCAGTTTCGTGCCTCTGAGCACGTACACTATTTGTGAACTGCAAATGCAAATAATCTTCAAAGTGCAGCAGCATTTTGTTCACGTCGTTTGTGCAACTGATGCGCACTTCACAGGCCACTGTCACCCTATTCATGTACACCTCACTTGTTTGGAGTGCTTGAAAATGCTTTCTTCTCCACACACAGTCTAGACAACAAAGGGAAGTGTTTAGCTGCCACACGTAGATTAAAACTATGCATCAGGCGCTGGAAGTGATGCACAGAATGCAGTGAATTCTCTCAGTGTAACGTGAGCATGAAAGCAAACCTGAGTTGTGTGAAAACGGACCGTTCCTTGTGGAAAATGCACGGAAAGAACTTGCCTGGAGAACCTCCTCTCCTTCTTTTATTTAAAAAATTTTGCAGCCATCTTAATCAGAACGGTGGAATCTGGCAAACGTTCTGGAGCACCTGCATCCATCCAGCATGACCCGCTTTTGTTCTGGTGCGACCCCCTGACTTTAGTCCCTAATTAACCCAACAGAAACTAATTAAATACAGCTCTTGTGGACTCAGACGCCAGAGAGGAGGGGAATGGATTTCTTTTATGGAGAGGAGGAGAAGAGGGAGGACGGAGAACACGGGGAGGTGAGTGGAGTAAAGCAAGCAGGCAAACACAAAGCAGGGAGAAATAAAGAAATTAAAAGAAAAATTAGGTGTAGCGTCCTGCCCTTTAATTCTTTACTAACTTCTTCACACGCTGCTTGTTTCCACGTGTTTTGTATTTTTTCACTCTGTGTAAAAACGCATCTGCCAAAAGCTGTAATCACAAGCGCACCAGTAACGTGATGCAACCAACACCCTGGAGATATTTGGAAAAGGTTTGAGACAGGATGGAGAGAGCCGCAGAGAGACTAGAGCAGTGTGTAATGAAAGCAGAAGGGGGAAGAATTAAAAAAAGGAAGGAATGTGGTGGTGGAGGGGTAGATGGAGGCACAGGATGGTTTTTTATTTTTTGTGAAAGCGACGATAGGTGCAAATGAACTCAAAATCGGCCAAATGTCTCTGGCAAGGACACTTGTGCTCCTAGTCCTAGGCACGGCTCTCTAAGTGACAGAGAAGAGAAGCCTGTTCAAGTAGATAGGCCTGGAAAGGAGATTTGGGGGGGAGTGGGGGGGGGGTCTGATTTCAGCTCTTCAGTGAGGTTTCTGCTTCACGACTTGGCTTTAAAAGAAGAATCTTACTCCAGCTCAACCGCTCTGTTTTGTTCTTTGTCGAGTGTTTTCATAAACAAAACGTTTTTTGTGTAAAACGTCTATTCTTTGGCTGCGTAAGCATTGATCATGATGTAGCTTTCTATCAGTCAAATTATATGCTACTTCCAAAAACTATCAGAGAGTTAAGCTGAGTAAACTTTACAATGAGGTGTATAGAAACTGAGACATAGAAAGAATGGTTAAAGAAACAAGTCGCTGTCCACTTCAGAGTGGTGCTGAAATCACATGATTGGAGCGTTTATCCTTACAAAAATACTGCATAAGAGATAAACTGTAGATGATGAAATAAAAGTGAGATAGGGATGGAAAATCAAAACTTTGCAATGGTTGGCTGTTTATGGAGTCACACGCGCCCAAAAAAACAACTTGTAAACGTGATGAGTCCGACGCTGGTCTACAGGTGACATCTGCTGGTCAAACTGGAGTAGTGCAGTTGTATAAAGTTGAACCATGGCTTTTTGCCGCCCTCTGCTGGTGAGAGAGCCGAAATGAGTCAGCTGTGGGGGCTGATTAACCCCCACAATCTTACAGTACTTTAATATTTGCTTTTGTTTTAAATTTAATTTAATTTAATTTACAAGAGTCATGCATACAACAAAGACAACAAAGAACAACATATCTTTGTTCCTACTTAAAACAATTGCATGTACAAGAGCAAAACAATCAGGAGTGAAAATTGATTACATTTACAATCCAAAATTTCCCCCATAGTATAAAGTTTGTACATTTGTTAGAAAACTGTTTGTCAAGTTGTGATAGTAAAAAAAAAAACAATCAAAAACTTCTTATGGTAGCTACATTGTTTAATTTCCATGCCTGACATAATTCATGATTTGTGCTTCTTGACTTGGTTTGTTTGTTGGGATTTTATTAATTAATTAATTTGTTTGTTTGTTTGTTTGTTTGTGTTCACGTGCATCAAAATCAGAATCTGCTCAAATCAGTCTGCAGCAGCTCAAATTTCAAGCTTTCCCCGGTGGTAAAAAGGCGTTGCCATGGCCTTCACTAGTGTCGTAAAACTTCATATTCTGTTGCAAAGAGTTTCGCTGCGAGACTGCTTTGCGGCAGCAGAGAAATCGAGGGGAAAGCAGTGCAAGCGTTGCCAGCGGATACGTTACCGCCTCAAAAGTCCTCGGATTTTCACCATAGTCGGCATTTTTTGTCATATATAAATTGTATAACCTCTCGGTTTGTGGATGAAATCGTGTTTAACGTTTCCCAAGCGTGAATCTCCACTTTAATGCAGTGGGATGGCCACAGTGCCGCCTGGGCCTGGTAACGCACTGCTTTCATCCCCGGCTGCAGTTTCTCCTTTCTCCGGGGAAGGAAGCGCGGAGGCGGCGGTGGAAGACGGAGAGCAGACCTGCCACGAGGAGGACTGCGTTCCAGTCGGTACAGGGAAGACGTCACAACCGAAAAACGACGTTACAAGGTCGGTCAGGAAGAAGCGGAAAAGCATGCTAGCTCAAGCTAGCCCGGCGGCGCTGCACCTGAAAGTGCAAGCCCGAGAACAGCAGCAGCTGAACGGCTTGGTCAGTCCCTCGGAGGACCGTGACAGCCATCAGCAGGAGGAGAGCCGGGCTGACAATCTCAGCTCGTCCGCGGACAACTGTGACAGCAGCGGCAGCGAGGGGACAGCAGCCGCGACAAAAAATAAGGAGCACTGCCAACACGAAGGCCCCTTCTCCAAAAACGGCAGTCACTCTCCTCTGATGAACACCTCCGTGAACGGTATGCCGGGTTTAACGAGGACTGCGGCGACTCACGACCACACGCTGCCCCCGAGACCGCCCAGCGACGAGCCACCGGACGGCGACGGGCCCCACGGGGAGGTCAGCCTAGCTCAGCCGCTGGCAGCGGACCTGGCCCGGCTCGACCTGAGCGGCTCCTCCGACCGGGCGGACGCGGACAACCACGGCATCTGCTACGTCCGCTACGAGTCTGAGCTGCAGATGCCCTGGATCATGAGATTAATCACCAAGGACTTGTCTGAGCCTTATTCTATTTACACGTACAGGTACTTCATCCATAACTGGCCGCAGCTTTGCTTTCTGGTGAGTAAAACCCGCCTTAACCTCGCTCTGACTTTGCTCAAAGCAGGAATATGTACAAGATAAGTCGCTGAGCGTGTATTTGAGCTGGGTGTGGCTACACACCCGTGGCTTTTTACCTCCCGTCAATGTAAAAAGCAGGTTTGGAGACTCAAATACTCACTTTATATCCCAGATCATTTCATTTGACTCATCTGTCGTGTCTCGTGTTCTGTAAAATTGGATCAGGTTAAGTAATGAAATTTGGGAAGTTCCTGTGATTGTGTGCCCTCTGTGGTAAATATCCCAGTTTGTGTGTAAAGGCCACATGAGGAGGGATGACGAAATGAAGGTCAGAGGGCAGATCAGAGGGAGTCAGCAGATCTGACAGACTGACAAGTCCCTAACCTCTTGAGTGTGTGCGTCTGTCGCAGGCCATGGTGGAGCAGGAGTGTGTCGGAGCCATCGTATGCAAGCTCGACATGCATAAGAAGATGTTCCGCCGCGGCTACATTGCCATGCTGGCCGTAGACTCGAAACACAGAAGGAAAAGCATTGGTGAGATGTCCACAATGTCCAGAAAGTCTTGTCCTGTTGCGACAGTGCCACACATGTAGTAGGCCAATGTCTTGGGCAGATGTGTTTACGCAAAACTCCTTTTTAACCAAAAAAGACTCGTAATGTTCTGTATCGGAGCAGACGAGGTTCTCGTCTGGGGTCACCGACTTCTTCTGTTGCTCATTTCAGGTACTAATCTGGTGAAAAAGGCCATCTATGCCATGGTGGAGGGGGACTGCGATGAGGTGACTTGGACACACACAAGAAAAACGTTGTCTCAAACCTGCTTGAGGTTTATGCATTAAATATCTTCGGTTATGGTGTTAATATATGATAAATCATAGATAAATAGGATATACAATCTAATAAGAGGTTAGTAATTGGGTTTGTTTGTTTTTTTCTGAGTCAGAATAATTCAGAAGATGAGACTTTAGTGAAAAATCAACCTTGGATTATCTCATAATTTGGTACTTGGAGTCTAATTATTTGATACCCTGAAAAACTGGAGATTGTTTTGAACAAATACTTGAAACTTTTATTACATTTTGTGATTCTAAAGACATAAGTCATCTAACCTAAAATGTGCTTAAAGTCAAACTATGTAACTTTTTCATATTTTTAAATCATTTTCTTGAGCCAGTATGTGATAAAATGACCCTACAGGGTTAATGAAAGACCACCCAGCCCCTATCGCCCCCTGTGGCCAGAATATTCCACTTGCAACTGCAGACTGGCAGCCTGGTGCTGCAGTCTAGCTCCAGCACTTTCCCTGCAATGTTTTATTTCATTCATTCATTGAGGCCTAGTCCACACGTAGCTGTTTTTTTTTAAAAACGAATATCCGTCCCTCCAAAAACTTGCATCCACACCACCTCGTTTAAAAAAAACTCTGTCCACACGTACCCGGATAAATACGTTGTTAAGGACATGCCAGACCTGTAGGCGGCAGTACTTCCCCCGTTCTTAACCTCGTCCTTCGTCTGTGGTCTTCCGCAAGGAGCAGTAATTCCGCTTGCAAAAACAAACAAGCAAAAAGCGCTTGGACAATTGATAAAGCGAGCGCAGCTCTGAGGGCATCCATGCTGTCGGCTAGTGTAAACACAGGTCGCACACGTGATGTCAGCATTTTTTTGTCGCGGAAAGTGACGTTGCGGACCTTAAAACTCCGGTTTTGTCTGTCCACACGCAGACACCCAAAACAGAGAAAACACAGATCTTCACTTTGGCCGGAGTTTTTAAAAAGATCCGTTTTCGTGTGGATGACAGGCCAAAACGTAGAAAAATATCTACGTTTTGGCAGATCCCTGGCTACGTGTGGACAGGGCCTCAATCGATCAAATAAAAGTTGCATTAAAACAATTCATATTCACAAATAATCATAAATGAAAAGGAGCAGAAAGAAGCAAAAACTATGTGCCCCCTTTTCACATCAAGACATTAGCTGTTCAACTCAAAGAATTTCGTTCATCTAACCCCCACCCCCAACACAAAACAAGTCAATCAGCCTACTTAAGGTCTTATTACTTCATCATGATACGTTTCACTTTTTTTTAAATACAGAAAATGATTTAGATTGTTTTATTTCACTGTTGAGTCTATTCCATAAATAGACACTTTTAACTGAGATACATCTTTCCATCATCGCTGTTCGGAATCTTGTTTTTTTTTAAATATCAGTTCCTTTTAGATAGGACTGTAAGAAAATATCGATATAGCAATATATTGCGATATTTTTTCCTGCGATATTATATAGATGTTCAAAAACTGTTTATCGATTTTTTTGGAAAGATTTTACTTGCAAACATTTGTGTATTTTCTTTTCTTTTGGTGCAAATCAAATGCCGTCCGCTAGTCAGCAGTAGGGTGCAATGGAGTTTGTTTCCACCACTGAAATTTAAATCCCTCTATTATGGTTCAGATACCTCATGTTAATCATTTTAAGTATCAGTTTGGACCATTTATTGAATTTTCCTACAATAATTTTAGTCTAAAAAAATCGCTATAATTGTCCGACTGAATGTATCGCAATATATCGTGATATATCGTATCGTCTCCCCTGTATCGTGATAAGTATCGTATCGCCAGAATTTCACCAATACACATCCCTACTTTTAGATTATAATTACTTTCTCTTTTACAAATTTCTTTTGAATATTTATTGGTAGAATTCCTTTATGTGCTTTATACATAAGTTTTAAAACATTATATTCTACTAGTTTGTCAAATTTCATTGGGTCTAGTTGTGAAACGTTTGATCAGTATGATCCCTGTATCCACTTCCACTAAACACTCTCACCGCTCTTTTCTGTAAAAGAAAAATTGAATGCGTATATGTTTTGCAGGTACTTCCCCATACTTCGATACAATATGTAAGACATGGAAGAATTAACGAGTTATAACAGAATACACAAAGCTTTTATGTTCAACGATTCCTTCGTCTTATTTAGTACTAAAATACGTCGAGATATTTTAATTTTAATATAATTTATGTGAGACTTCCACGATAAGTGTTCGTCAATAATAGCACCTAAAAACTTAACTTCTTTTACTCTTTCTATCTCAATTCCTTCAACATTTATTGATACATCAGCACTTTTTTTTACTACTACAAAAAACTATGAACTTAGTTTTATCGATATTTAAAGGTAGCCTATTGATATCAAACCATATTTTAATTTTTGTAAATTTGTTTTCGGCTACATTTCAAACATCTTTTATATTTTCTCTTGAATAAAATAAGGTGGTGTCATCTGCAAATAGTATGCACTTGAATAATTTTGAAACCAAAGCAATATCATTAACATACAAAAGAAAGAGTAATGGTCCAAAGACCGATCCTTGTGGTACTCCTCAACTAATAGATAGATAGATAGATAGATAATCTTTATTGACAGACTCTTAGGTCCAGATAAAATACATATAAAACAACAGATCAATGAAACAAAATAGATAAATAGAATAAAAATATAACAGCATAAAATTGAATAAAAATCTAAATGTAATTAAAAGCTTTACTATAAACTGTTCCACACAAGGTTAACCACACAAACACTTCAACCAGTATTTCCTTATACTGGAGAAATAGCGACAACTGCTCACAGTAGGATCAGTGATTGCTAAAATTATACTGTTGGCAGAGCTATCCAGTCGGCCTATAAAAGTGAATATGAGTTTTCTTAAAAGAGCTTTAAAAGTACAAACGCCTGCTGTTACAAACATCTGACTGGCACTGCCCCCTCTGGGTATTTTAAGTATGATCCTTAAGGCATCGTTGTATGCAACTTGCAGCTTGTTCATGCTGCTTTGATTGTAGGATGACCACAGTTGGGCTGTGTAGAGCGGAGTACAATATGCTTTAAATAAAGCCACCTTAACTGGAGGTGAACAAAAACCAAACTTACGAGCTATAGTGTTAGCTTGTGCATACAGCTTACAGCACTGTCTGTGGATGTCAGCATCATCACGCATTTGATCAGTTATAAAATGGCCAAGGTATTTCACCTTCTCACACACATTAAGATCACTATTAGACAGTTTGAACACAGGAAAGTTTAGCTTTTTATCCTGCTTGGTTCTACATATCAAGATAGCACTTTTAACAGCATTATACTGAATATCGTACTGCACACCATATTCAGAGCAGATATTTAGGAGCTGCTGTAAACCAGCACTACTTGGACTAAAGACCACCAGATCATCAGCATACATCAGATGGTTGATCAAAGTTGTACCCATCAAACATCCTGTGTTACAGGCTCTGAGCTGCACAGACAGATCGTCAACATACAGATTAAATAAGATAGGAGACAGAATTCCACCCTGCCTAACACCATTACTAACGCCAAATGGTGCAGAGATGCTGGCACCCCATTTAACCTGTATCTTCTGATGAGCATACCAGTAAGACAGGATTCTCACAATAAACCCAGGGACCCCCCGTTGCTTTATCTTAATAAAAAGTTTTCTGTGGTTTACACGATCAAAAGCCTTAGAAGCATCAATAAAACACATAAAGACAGAAGAATTTCTATTTCTGTACCAATTGACCATTTCTTTAAGTGCGTATATACACATGTCAGTACCATGTTTTGGCTTAAAGCCAAACTGATTATCCAAGGAGCTGAGGTACACAGTGACTCTATCAAATATGATTCTTTCTAAAACTTTAGATAAAACACTGGCTAGTGCAATCGGCCTATAATTATCCATACTGGTCACCTTCCCAGATTTGTTCTTAATGACTGGAACAAGCAGAATTGCCATCATTGAGTCTGGTAGTATGCCATGAATCATGAACCCTGTAAAACATAGAGCTAAAAGGGGAGCTAGTCTTTGGCTAGCATATTTCAAATGTTCTGCACTAATGTGATCCAGACCAGAAGCCTTATTATCAGCTAGTTTGTGAATAGCATCATGCACCTCATGGGTCGTTACACATATAGATTCATCATTAATTACAGAGCCATCCTCATGCTGGTCACCTTTCAAACAATTAAACAATGCATAATAATGATGTCTCCATAATGCTGCAATATTATCTTCCCCAGAAACACCTTCAACAGCACCTGGTAGAGATGATTTGCAATTATTAACTGTTTTCACATCTTTCCAAAAACCTTTGACATCATGACTCATAAATTTCCTGGCCATTGAATCTGCCCTCATGATCTGCTCATTTTTTGATATAAAACGAACAGCATACTTATATCTGGCATTTGCACGTTTTTTCTGTTCAAATTCCACACCCTGCCTAGGTCTCCCAACCATATCCCAACATTTAAAAGCTACCCGCGCTTCATCCTGATACATGGCAACATGTTCTTTCCAGCCAGGCCTGATATGAGGTTTCTGCTTATTCTTACCTTTGACATGAAAAGGTCTACCACTTTCATACAAAGCGTCCACTATATCCTCATACATAGAGCATAGATCACGTTTGTGTTTGAGAATCTTACAGTTGACATCTTCACACAGGATAGCCTCTTTAGCCACAGAGATATTGTTCAGGTATTGATCTGTATTATAACTATAACCCGATATGTCTTTGTCACTTAATGCTGCCCATTCTAATTTTATATTATCATAATTATTGACATAATTAACTCCCATTGTACTAGGCAGTTGTTCCACATTTATAGAGAAAGCAAGAGGTATATGGTCTGACACAGTTACCCCATATTTTATAGACATGCTATCCAAAGCTGCATGACCATCAGCTGTACTAATACAATGATCCAGCCATGAT